TGGAAAAACTGGATATCCACCTGCAGAAAGATGAAACTGGACCCTATCTCTTGCCATTAACAAAAATCAATTCAAAATGGATCAAAGATCTAATCCTAAAACATTGGGCTATAAAACTACTAGTAGATAATGTAGGGGAAATCTTGGTGACATCAGAGCAGGCAAAAACTTCTTAAATAAGACCCTTAAAGCATGGGCAATGATTCCAAAAACAGACAAATGGGACTAGATCAGATTAAAAAGCTTTTGCTCAGCAAAAGAGACAATAGAGTGAACCAGCAACCCACGGAATAGGAGAATATACTTACAAACTATCCCTCAGACAAAGGATTCATAACCACAATATGCAGGGAACTCAAGTGGCTTACCAGGAAAAAAAAAAAAAAAAAAAAAAGATCAACCCAACTAAAATGATGGGCAAATGAGCAGAACAGACATCTCTCTAAGGAAGACATATGAACAGCCAAAAAGCATATGAAAAAATGTTCAACATCCTTTGTCATAAGGGAGATGCAAATCAAAACCACAATGAGATACCACCTAACCCCATTCAGAGTGGCTTAGATTAAAAAAATAAACAATAATAAGTGCTGGCAAATCAGTGGTGAAAAGGGAAGTCTCCTACACTGTTGACAGGAATGTTAATTAGTATAGCCATTATGGAGAACAATATGGAGGTTCCTCAAAGACCTATAAATAGAACTACCATATAATCCAGCAATTCCACTCCTGGTTATCTAACCAAAGGATAGGGAAACTATCAGAATGATGATAACAACTTATAGAAATAAAACTTCCCTATCAGAGATTACTAGAGCACCAATTCATTACTCAGAAAATTTGTAAGCAAATGGGAAAAGTCAAGCATTTATTCTGCCTTCCTCAAAATAACTATTTCAGAGTTATCTTTATTAAATTCGTTATTTAAGAATTCCAGATAAATACAAAAGGAATAGCAGAATAGCCATTTCGCACCTTCTATTCAAACACTAAATCAATGCAACATAAGATAAATAACTTAGTTTTCCCAATAACTCAATGGCATGAAAACAAAAAGGAAGGAAAAATTGTTTTAGACTAAAAGACTCTTAAAAGGATGATTGAATGAAATATGTGAGCCTTGTTTGGATTATGATTTGATTAACTGTTAAAAAAAATTGAGGCAATAGAACTTCTTCACAGACCATATATTAGACAGCATTAAGTGATTCAGTAATATTTTAGATATGACAAAACTGCCATGGAATATGGTGATTTTTCAAAGTAAAACTAAAAAAAAAGTAATAATCAGAGATAAATTCTAAGATATTTACAGGTAAACTGGCATTAGTCCAGGATTTAAAAAAAAATAAAAAGGAGAAAATTGGAAAAGAGTAGAAGAATAAAGACTGGTAGAATGCTCATAAAAGCTCATAGATTCATTCCCTTGCCTTTGATAGTAATATGTATATGGGAGTCCATTATACTATATTTTTTCTTGTAAATTTGAAAATGCCCCCAATAGAAAATAGAGAAAGTTCAGATGTGTATACACATACACACTCAGATACACACAAAGAAGTTCCCCACTGCAACTTCCTGGGGTTCCTGCCATGGGACTCCCATCAATTTAAAAGAGAAACTTAGTATATTAAATTTCTTCTTGAATAAAGACTAAAAAGCACCCAACTCATTAAGATTCCATCCATTAAGCATCTAACCTGACCAGAAATCATAATTTTAATTAATTCACTCATTAATTAAAGGGTCTAACCTATAAGGAATAATAAAACAGTGAGATTAATGAGAACCTCTGATGCTAAGTGTAGCAAAATACAACTTGGTAGGTTTTAGAAACAAAAGACAAAACACAATTCCCCTTCTCACGGATCCTACAGTCCATTAGGAGAGGCAAATAAATATGCAAATAATTATAAAATAATGTGACATATGCTCTAGGCACAGACAAGGTGCTATGAGAGCATGTTAAAAGAAACACACGAACTAGAAAGGTGGCCAAAGAGAAAGGACAGAGAAACATCTCAGAAGGAATAAACCCTGAAACAGTCCTGAATAATGAGGAGGTACTATTTAGTCAAAAATCAAGGTTGTTTACCCCGCAGAAAATAAAAAGTAACTTGTCCAAAGATCACACAGGTAAAGAGCAGAAGAAAAAAGAAAAAAAAATTAAAAAACAGGGTTTTAAGTAAGGAGAAACCATATTCCATACTAAGGAATATAGACTATGCACAGAGGAAAGGGAAATCAGCAAAGACTTCAAACAACAGAATGTCTGTCTTTGGTTTACTTAAATTTTTTTTTTTTTTAATTCATCATAGAGCACATGTGTGTGAGAGAGGAAGAGAAAGATAAGAGTATCCTCAATAGAGTCTGGCCACGTTGTAATCACCTTCTCCCAGTCCTCCATCCTATCGGATGTTGGGCAGTTATGCACGTACCTGGCATGCTTCACATGGATCAGGCCAGGGATTCAAACCATAGTCGCCATAGGGATCTAGTGTTTCTGGAGCATCAAGAAAACGGGCACTGAACCACAGAAACAGCCTTGGTTTTCATTTTTAAAGAGATACTTTGATTTAGTCGGAGGATAAACTGTAGATAGAGACTGGAATAAATGGATCTCACAGAAATAGTAAGAACAAATGAGGATTTGAGCTAAGGTGGTCTTAACAGGAATGAAAAAGATGAACATACAAGTGAAGTAAATCTGCAAAACGGTGATTTATTGCATATGTACAGAGAGGAGTCAACAATGACTTCCAGGTTTCTTGTTTATTTAACTGCATGATGATATGACAGCATATATTCTGAGACAGAAAAACAAGAAATTGAATTAATTCAGGTAAAAGAAAGCAATACATTCAGTTGTAGACACAGTAAGTCTAACATGCCTATGAATTTTCCAGATGCCCACAAGGCAGTCAAGGGAATAATATAGGTCAGAGAGTTGACACTATACAGCTGAAGCTATGGAACTGGATGAGATCATTCTTAAGGACAGAGGACAAGGAATGAGATGTCTGTAAAGACAACTATGCAGAAGAGACAAGAGAAATTGAAAGAAACCAGAAGTAAGGCCATAGCAATAAGAAAAGAGAATGACAATAAGGAGTAGATCAACCATGTCAAATGCTGCAAAATGGTAAATTGATTTTTAAAAAGGGGGCGGTTCTGGGGTCAGCGGGTGGCAAGGACATTAAGGCAGCCAAACCCTACATGACTGAATGAACAGTTCAATTTCTAGACCCAGCAGCTTGTACGTGTACATACCATTTGTGCCCAAAATCCCAAGAAAAAAATTAAAGAGAGAGACTGTGGCATGGCCATCTCCCATGAGGAGTGACTGATCGCACTCTCTCCCCCTCTCTCTCCCTCTCTCTCCCTCTCTCTCTCTCTCTCTCTCTCTCTCTCTCTCTCAAGTGAGTGCACACATATATGGCAAACTTAAATAAATATAAAAAAAGAAGGGGATTAAGAAATCATTTATTTACTTATTTGCTGGGTTTTGGCAGAATCATTTCAGTGGGGCAATTGGACAAGATGCCAGACTACAGTGACTTCCACAATTCATAAAAGAAAATAAAGTAGACACTCCAAGTACAGAAGTTTTTTCAGTTTGCTTAGGGCTGGAGCAGAAGAAACTTCAGGGTGATAGCTAAAAGAAGACATAGTTCAAAGAAATTATTCATTTATTTGAATAGGAAAGTCTGCATATGTTTAACTTACAATGGGAAGCACAGATTCTTTAATGGGATTGAAAAAAGTGCCCTTAAGAGAAGAGTAATAGAACGGTTTGTAGTTCTCTTAAGACTAAATAGAAGACAAATCCTTTCATAAGTGGAAAGACCTATTTGAAAGTGCACTGAAGAAATACGTGAAAACTAAAGATAACAAATGTCTAAGCCATTATTCTAGATTAAATATTAAGTACAAATTCATACTGTTTTCCATAATCTATTTCAGGAAAACCAATAACAATAGTTATAATTATTTTCAATTAAGTATTCACTGGATATCTATGTGCTAGATGGAAAAGACAGCTAAGAAATCCCACTTTCTCTCAGGTACTTACAGTGAAATTGGGAAAGACAAGCACATAAATGGCTGGCTATGTAGCTATTGAAGAGGTACTAAAGTACATGTAATCATAGAATAAAATAAGTACTTCAACGAGAAGAGAATCTAGGCTAGGTTTAATGCTGGAAGTATACTTAAATTTACATTTCACTTCATATCCATATAACTTATCAAAAATTTCACAAAGAAACATTTTAAAAAATACAAATATTCAGAATTAGCAAAAGTTAAAAAGTATTCAAAAGGGGCAAAACTGTGTTTATAAAAATAGTAACAAAGGACAAAGTAACCAGAAAATAAAAAGTTATGGTTAATAAAATTTCATACCAATTCCTTAGTAATCCTTATATTCATATGTGCACATTTACATGTATGCAATTCATCAACTTCCCCAAATGTAAGAATCTAAATATCCCTGAATGATTAAAACAAGTTACTCATATGGGAGTATAAGTATAAAATACATCTCAAATAAATATGTATATACTGCCCCCAAGGGGCAATAATATGTAGTTCATTAAAAATATAAGCAGAAACTATATTGGACTTCTTGGATACAATTTATTCCTAATTATCCTAGTCCATGAAGAAGCAACACTAGAAAGCAACCTGTTAAATAATGCATCATCTAAAAGCCATTCACACATATATTTCTACTAATATTTACATCAACTCTCTTTCCTAGCTGGGGAGAATTACCCTTGTACTGTGAAAATTCTGAGAGGTGTTGAGACGGTTACATGGCCTTTTACAAATAATTCAGAAGTTTATATTCCACAAAGAAATAATCAAATCAGCCTTAAGATGTCATTAAGTAGTGTTTCTCTACTTTTTTTTTGGGGGGGGGATGCAAATTGTATTTTTACTACTAATCACAAATATTAGCATTTATAAAAGGGAAGGATGAAAAGGAAATGACTTACAATAATGCATGTTGGGACTTCACGAAGAGAATATTCTGCTTTATTAAGAAGATGTTGATTGCCAATTAGCTCATAGACAGCAGGATAGGATAACAAGTTCACCAGTGCTAGAAAAGACTAGGGAGAAGAAGAAAACCAGTCATTTAAATGGTTCATTTTTTTCAACCACATCCATAATAAAGCCATTAATGCTAAGTTTCATAGCTCTGTGACTGTGACGGCTAAATTTTAAATAATCCTAATTAACCTACATAAATGCAAAATATCTAAGTATATAAACAGTTAACATGAACAATAATCTCCAATCTGGCAATGCATGACATAGCAGCTGTTATTTATAGAGTATTTATGGGGGTTAGAAAACATTTTAAAATGCCCTGTATTACTGAAGTTTGGTCCTGACAAAAAATGAAAAGACTTTTCTTTCACACTTTGCACTAGTACATATGATGTGAAATATAAGAGAATAATTCTTATGGGCTACGGGGCAAGATAATAACTATATATGCAGGCCACAAAGCTTTCTCTTAACTGGAAACTAAGCATTCAGTGGAAAGCCAAGCGACCTAAATATCATAGTTAATTTTAAAAAGCAAGCATTCAATCCAAACCAGTTCATTTTTTGGTGCAATCTTACCAAGTTAATCTCCCACGAAATATTTAAGCATCGCGTTCTCATTTTATCTTATTAAAACAACTAGAATACTACTGACAGGCACACTTCATTCTTTGGCTTCCTAGCTCAAAAGCGTAGTGGCTGCTCATCACTCTACATCAAGTCTAAACTCCTTAGCATGACTTTTAAGACATTTTTACTAGCTGACACCTTTCTTATCTTCAGTCTCAAAGCCTTTCTCATTATCCCCCAGCATAAAGTTGCCACTTTAGTTAATGAAGTCTACTTACTCTCTCCTTTAACAGACTGCCACCTGTATAAACTTTTATTATCCTAATCAGATGGTGCTCCTGCCCTTCCACTTATTCAGTTTACTACATCTTTCCTGAAGACTTTCAAATTAATTCCCTTTATTTCCTAAAAACCTAGAAATTCAGTCAATACTTCTTTAGGTTATATAATATTGTACTTATTTCTAACTATTGTTTTCTGCTTGTCACTTTTTAAAAAAGCTTCACTAGACTCGGCAAATTTGAAAACTGAACTAAGAAGTTCCACTAGAAGAAAGAAATTGAAAATCACGAAAATCACAAAGAACACTTCAATCTTCCATTTAACAGGTGAGAAAACCTGACATCCAGATAAGTTAAGAGGCATAGCCAATGGCACACACTCAGAAAGCTGGTAGCAGAACTAATCTATGTTTTGTTTTGTTTTTCATATTTCTAGCCTAAAGTGACAAAAAAAATTAAGATAGAATCATCAGTCACCCTTGTTCCACAGTCCTTGTTTGAAGATCTGGGAAACAGTCCATTTACTATCTCCGCCTTTCTAACACTAAGTGCAATGCTATTTAACAAGTAACAGTGGCTACGTGGTGAATACATTTAACTTCACACTACGATTTTTAACAAATGCTGTTTCTGAGTAATAAATGAACTCACATTAAGTTTTTTAAAAACAATAATATATCTCTTCTTACACCAATATTACATAAAATGACAATGAAATCTCTAACCAAATCTAAGAAAACTAATCCATGATTTAAACTTATGTATCTACTGGGTTATCACAAAAGTCATGACACATTTTTGCATATAAAAATATGTCTGACTTTTCAGACAACTCAATATTTGGATAGCAATAAAATTATAAAAAAGTAGAAATTAAATAAATATAATAACTTATCACTTACTGAATGCCTACTTAAAGAGAATAATAAGTAACAGGAGGGCCCAGATGGTGGTACAGCAGTAAGACGCCATGCTCAGCCAAACAGGACAGTTCTGGCTTCAAGTTCAGCAACCTCCCTGAATACTGTAGGCATGCACAGGTCCATGATATGGGGCTGGCTGATGCAGGGGATAGATTGTGACATCAAAACCTTATTGGGGGGAGACCAGTTCAAGCTAGCGGCCTTCCCAGACACCAGGCTCCCTGTGGCTGCAGGCCCTAATGGCCCAGACCTGTGGTTCACCCCCCCCGACCCCCCAACTGGCCTTTGGACTTCAGGTTTGTGTCTTGGAACTTTAAGAGGAACTTGTGCTCTGCCCTATCCCATTCTGAGATGGGTTCAAGCAGACAACAGGCTGCCAGTGGCTGAAGGCCCTAACAGCCCAGACCCATGGCTAATCCTCACCACCACCACCCTCCCCACCACCACCACCCCACTTCCCCCCACCTTTGGAATCTTAGAACCTCCATGTTTTGAATAGCATGCATAGCAAAATGTGCACAACACAACCTTTTCTTTGCTCCTGAGGTGAAGCTCATTAGCTCAGTTGGAAGCTCACCACTCTTTAAAAGCAAGGACATTGCGTCACCCAGCACCAATGACAATAATGCAGAGTACTGGTAAGCAACAAGGAGGCAGACCAGAAGAGAGATAGCAATTTTCTACATCTGCACACCTTTCAACACTCAGAGATACCTTGAATAAGTTAGGAAGGAACATATAGTTCACCAGATGACTAGAAGCAATTGCAGAGGCTCAAGAAATAAGAGCAACCAACAAAATTTTTCTCCCCCAAGGGAAAACATCAATCCCACATCACTGACAGACAACACAATGGAAGTCCTGGACATGCCAGATAAGCAATTCAGAATAATTGTAGTGACCAAACTAACTGAGATGCAAGAGAAATGAGACAATGAGCTCCAGGAAATGAGGAAGTCATCTCATTATTTGAAAAAAGAAATAGACACCTTAAAAAAGAATCAGATGGAACTTCTAGGGATCAAAAATGTGAAACAGGAAATTAAAACCTCCCTTGAAAGTATTAAAAGTAGATTAGATCACACAAAAGATTAAAACTTGAATGTAGAAGACAAAACCTCTGACCTAGAAAAAAGTATCAAGATTGAGAAAACAACCAAGAAAAATGTGGATAATATACAACGAATACTGAATACCAGCAAGTACTCCAAAATCTGGATAATTGGTATCCCAGAAAAGGAAAAAAATAATAAGGACATTGATAATTTATTCCATGAAATCCTGGAAGAAAACTTTCCAAACCCAGAAAGGCAACCCAAAGCACAGTCGATAATCTCCAAAATAGACAAGTGAGATTACATCAGACTAAGAAGTTTTTTCATGGCAAAAGACACAGTAATTGGTGTGAATCAACAGCCCTCAGAATGGGAAAATATTTTTGTAAACTATGCATCAGATAAGGGACTGGTAACCAGAATACACAAGGTACTCAAGCAGCTGTCCCCAAAAAAAAGGTGATCAACCCTACTAAAAGATGGGAGACTGAGTTGAAAAAATTATTCTCTAAGGATGACATATAAATAGCCAAAAGGCATATGAAAAAATGCTCAACATCCCTCATTGTAAGGGAAATGCAGATCAAAAAAAAAAAAAATGCGATACCACCTACCCATGTCAGAATGTCTAAGATTGAAAATACAAACAATAAGTGCTGGCAGGGGTGTGGTGAAAAGGGAACTCTCTTACACTGCTGGTGGGAATGTAA